ACTCGTCGTCCGCCGCTCGTCGACAACGAGATTTTGACCTGAAGTCGTCTTCCAGAGAACGAGTTTGAAAGGTGAGTATTTTGTACTTTAAACTTACGCTAGTCTTTTTCTTAGTCAGCAAAAGCAAACTTAAAGCCGTATACAGAGCTGTTATCGATTTGAGAGTTATTACAAACCCTGATTCCATTTGTTTTTGGTACTTTTTGGTCGACCTATTTTCACGAGATTCTGAGGTCTTTACATGTAAACAACATATCGCCAGTCGAAAAATTTAAATTGAAAAATGAAGGCCTTAAAAAGCACTTTCACCCTTTAAATTTTAAACATGCACGAGAGATATAAACAGTGAGTTGTTGTGATATGGTTGACACTTTCCTGATTTTCTTCGTAGCGATGGCGAAACGAGAATACGAAGCTATGCTTCTCAGAGAAGTACTGGTTGAAGAGCCTCACAAGTACCGACCAGGTTCAAAAGAGAGAGGTATATCTTGGACGAAAATCGCCGAACATTTGCAGAGAGTGGGATGAAAGTTACTCAGAGATCAGCAAGAGAGAAGTTTGATAAGTTATACAAAGAGAAAAGAGAGAAAGGAAGAAAGTGGGGCTAGTGGGGTGGATGATGAATACGACGGGATATACCAGGCCCTGACCAATATCCATGAACAGATTGTGGATTGGCAGGAGCAGCAGCAGGGGAAAGAAGAAAGTGAGAAGGCAACTGCCGAGGAGATGAGGAAATGAGCAACAGAGAAGTTAAGTGAAACAAAACGAAGAACCAGCACGGACGATGAAGAGAACTCTGATGGTGCGACACCCAAAAAGAGAAAAAGCCACACCAGTGTCACGGAACTCTTGGAACGAAGCATTGAGAGAAAAGCTTCCGAACAAGCTGAACAACAGCTCAACAAAAAAAGAGAGCTTGAATTGCGTGCCGAGGAATTGCGTCAACAACAGCAATTCCAAGCAATGCTGCTTCAGCAACAGCAACAATTCCAGCAGCAACAACAGCACTTCCAGCAGCAACAACAAGGAATGAACATGGCTATGTTAAATACACTTGCTGAAATAGTTAAAAAGTTCAATTGAGCTTTACATTTAATACACGATGACTGAGGTTTTGAAACTATAGTTTCTTATTTTAACAAATTTTATGAACTTGGTGTTTGCACTTTGATGAAAAAGCTTGAAAACTGAAAAATTTATTAGCTCACCATTTAACTTCTAATCAATTCAGCAAGTGTATTTAACATAACCATGATTANTCCACTAGCCTAGAGGAAATGTTTTCCGTTCTCAAGAAATGCCGCGGGAAAATGGACTGCCTAATTCACGAAATGTTATTCATTCGCGAACAAAAACCAAAGCTAAACACGCAGTCTGACTCAATACGTGCAAAAGTATTTATTTAAACATATACTGCACGATCTGACATGCTAAACACCAATAACAATGAACGCTCATTATTCTAATGAAGTTATCACATTTTATTTGTATATAATCTCTGAGCTACAATTTTACATCAGTTTTAACATTTTACTTGATAATGAGGTCATGCAGACTTCGAAACGTCGTAGTTTTTTACCGTTAATTTTTATTATCAAATGTATTTCTAAACATTCTCTGATTAAATTAATTTAGATTTGAAAATTCTTCAGTATGGAAAAAAAATTTATGGCCATGGATCCACATCCCATCGTCATCAATTACTCCTTTTGTAGCTAACTATACAATAGAAATTTACATGCAGAAAATATAATTACGCGATTTAGGTTCAATTCTTCTCTTTTATCTCCTCATCACTTTGCCAAATTACATTACTTTAATGTAGCCATAGTTAGTACTAACTATGATGTAGCAAATCAAGAGCTTTAAACCTGAAAATAATCATCTAATGTAGGAGGTTGAGCATCAAAATAGGTGCTTGTAGTTGATCCATATAAGCAGGTACGTGCATTCCTAAGCAGAGCGCACACTGAATACATCACACCTACTGGACTTAATCCAATCTTTAAGTTCTTCTTAAAATCTAGGAAAGCAAAGTATGTTACTATGTCGCTAAACAAACACTCCACAGCTTCCCTGACTTTAGTCATAGAGGAGTTGAATTCTTCTTGGTCAACCAACAATTGACCACCCTTGTATAGTCCCTGAAGATGAATTCTGAGTGGATAGGCGAGGTCACCATATGTACACAGTGGTTGTCCACTGGTATCAAATGAATGCTGCTGAAGGTTATGAAGGAGGCCACACATTCTTAACATACCAGCATCATGCCTTTTACCCTCTGAAAGGAAAATTTATAGAGTAAACATACTTGGATTTATATAGTAGCTAGTGTTATAACACTCTTGTAGCTGCAGGTAACTGTTGAGTTACAGACTGTGATTTCATTTTCCAAATTAATTGGCTGATAGCCATTTTTATTTAGTAGGGGCTGGGTTATAGAGTTTTGTGTAAGAATTCAAGGGTAGGCAACATTTAATGAAGCTCTTACCATGGGGTTTACTACCAAAAATGTTTCCTGATAGATTTGATTTTTCCAGCCCACTCCTGTAGATGTAGATATTATAAATCCTCGAATCAATTAGCGCCCGGGGAGCTTAATTCAAATTTATGAGAAAATGGGGGTGCTTATTCAAGGGAGGCACTTAATTGAGAAGGGGCGCTTATTTAACTTTTCCCAAATGGTGGCCTGACATGACCATTGTTTTTAATACATCATCTGCACATAAACAACATTAGCTGTTTATCGACAAAAAAACTGATCCTAGCGTTGAAATCAACATTAGTGCAAAGTACAAATATAAAACTAATATGATACTAATATGATGCTTATTCAAACCTTTTTCAGAGAGCTGAATTACAGGTTTGTTACAATGAGATGTTGTTAAGGTTGAGAACAGACGTCGGCATTTTCTCAGGCGCCTCTGGCAGCCGCTTCAGTCCATATCGATCTCACCTTCCCACCCATCCCACCCCAGGGGAGGACATCCATCACACAGTAATCTCGTGTGTGGGAAATTAACGTCTCCTACCCCAACCCTGCAGGAGACGGGACCTCCATTTATTCGTCCCTATCCGAGAAGACTAGAATATCTAACCATTTCTTGATGTTATAGAAAGGTAGCAAATTCTTCTCAATTATTTTAAGACC